TCTCTTTACTCTGATTCTGCTCTCAGTCTGATTATTGTAACTGTTTTTCTTGCTTTTTTAATGTTGATGCTTCAAGATTTATTGTGAATAAAATCCATTCATTCATCATCTTTTCATCTTTTACCCGCTTCTTTCATTTTGGGTCATTGGGGTCGCCGGTGCCCATGTCCAGCAATCACTGTGCGAGGGGCGGGGTAAACCCTGGACAGGTCTCCAGTCCATCACAGAGACACATAGAGACAAACGAGACAAACAACCATTCACTCTCTCACTCACACCTAGGGACAATTCAGAGTTACCAATCAGACTAACATGCATGTTTTTTTGGTCTGTGGGAGGAAACCGGAGCACCAGGAGAAAACCCACGCATGCACGGAGAGAACATGCAAACTCCACCCAGAAGGGCCCCCGGCCCGGTGTTTGAACCCGGGACCTGCTCGCTGTGAGGCAGCAGCTCTACCAGTTGCGCAACCCATGCATAAAATCAATATTTTTATTCAAATCTATTGTTTTGCTGTTATTTTCTGTTAAAAAGAAATTTCTCTGCGTCGTCATTAAATCGTTTCCTGCAGACTTTATGAATATTTCCATTTTATTTTTCAAAGATGTCAAAACACAATCTTCAACTTTGATGTAAAGAATATGTTTTGTTCACTAATTAATGAATAATATGAAGTTGAGCAAATACTTAGATGATACAAGAAACACTTTCACAACCAAAAAAATAGTTTAATATTTTTAATACTTAATCCTGATACACACTCGTCAGATATTTTTCTAAACGCTGATGATCAGTGAAGGTGATGTAAACATGAAAACTGGTCACATTTATTTTAAACAACCTTACTTTGATTCTCATAATGCTGTAAATGAATTAATAAATAAACAAAGTGTTAGGTAAAGTGTCATTTTTAAACAATAAATAACATAAGTCAGTTTATTGACGCTAAAAGATAGTTAGTGAAATGTTTTCAGACAGGGTGTGTTGGGGTCGGAGACTTTAGGGAAAAACATCAGTTCCTACATTTCCTGTTTATTTATTAAAAAAAAAAAGTTTAATTGTGTTTATTTAAATTTGTATTTTAATTTAATGAATGTGATTGGGGTTAACTTTAACAATATATGGATATAAATAAATGAAGTTTTTACATTTCATTATTTTGTTTGATTTAGTGAATCAGTCTGCAGCAGCTTCAGCTGCATCAATAGGTTCAGTTTCTGTTCTGTTTCACTGACAGGGGTTTTTGTACGACTG